CATACCACCTGAACCTGTGCAGTAGCTTTTAGTTCGCTTTACGACTGCAGATGACCGGAATCAGGAGGTGCTTATGCTTAGCATTCATCCCTGGACGCCAAGATTCCCCAACCCCTGTGTTTGTTTATATACTACTACAGCCACTAGCTAGCAGTAAGCAATTACAATTAGCCAGCGCCGACATTCCGCTGCTAGAAAAATTCGTGTGGCTAAGGAGATGCAGCAGCAGAGTTTGGAAGCTTGTTTTCCTTGGCCTTTGCAGCGCAGCTGCCCATTTGGCACGCCTGAATGCTGCAGTGGTACGGTTGCCACAGACGATGGTACTAGCAGCTTGTTTGGTTGGCTGGCGCTGGTCGATGCTTGCTGGATCGTGAAAAAGTACTGCCGACTGGTTTGATGTGAGAGAAAAATACTGTTCCGACTGAAAATTTACGATCATATACAATAAGCAGCAGCCAAACGGGCTAGATTACTAGCCAATCAGACATTACAGACCAACCTCCACGTTGCTTAATTGTATTAGTAGTACTACTACTAGTACTCTTATTAAGGGCAAGTCACATGCATGAATGGGCCTAACAAAAAGTTTCAGCCTTGTTTACAAACAACAAAGCCAATTCATGGGGTGTTTGGTTTGGCTTTTGGCTGTAGCTTTTGCTACCAAAAGCCCAAAAGTCAACCAAAGGCCCTATGGTAGATCTACAGCTTTTGCAAAAGCCAGCTTTTCACGTAGTTCATTTTTTAAAGCAAGGGGAGAGCTGCTTCCACAGGCTGTGGGGGTGAAAAATTACCCGCAATACCATCCATTATGTGCGTACCGGTTCGATTTGCTCGTGACTCGTCTTCTTCCGCGTGAAAGAAAGAGCGCAGCTCCTTCGCAAGCAGGCTCGGGCCGGCGGCGCATCTCCCCTCCGGTGGCGCCCCTCTCCTCCGCAAGCAGGCTCGGCCAGCGGCGCATCTCTCTCTCCCACTTGGTCGCTCTCACTCTCCCTCTCTGCCATCTCCCAGGCGCGCACACCATTGCCTCCCGCACGAGCTCCGCCGACCAAATTCGCCACCACCAAACCGCCTCCGCACGATTCGCCACACACACAGCTCCGCCTTGACTCCCTCCTTCGTCCCCACCGGTTTGCGCGTCGCTCATCTAGGGTTGAGGCCCCTTGGACCGGTTTTCGCCGCCGTACCACCATTGCTGCCCGAGCTCAAGCTCAGCGCGGCCAGGCCATCTCCGGTCGTTTCTCTCCCTCCTAGTGCTTGGATCTGGGCGCGGCCCCATCCTTGGCACCGGCGGGCACGCCCCTGCCCCCGTCCCATCCCCGGCACCGGCGGACGCGGGCGCGGCTCCATCCCGTCCCCAGCTGTGGCAGCGCAGGCGCGGCCCCGTCCTCGGCACCGGCGGACGCGAGTTGCGGCCCCGTCCTAGGCTCTGACGGGCTCGCAGGAGCACCGCCCCTCACCGGCCTCCTATTCCCTGTGCTCATGGACAGAAGAAGACGCGTATAGAAAAAAACATGAGAAAAATATGTTGGGTGATTGACAAGTGGGGTCGCCTGAGACATGGGACCTGCTAATAGATACTTTTCCAAAAAGCTACAGCCGCTCAACCAAACGGTTTTTGGCTTTGTCCATAGCTCACATCTCACAACTGTTTTTCCAACAGCTACAGCTCACAGCAGCTTTTCTAAAAGCTACAGCTCAACCAAACAGGCCCAGGCATATACTTCTTAGGCCAGTCTCAATGGAGAGTTTTATGGCGTTGTTTCTAAGATTGCCATGTCATATGAAATGCAATGAAACTTGGATGAAACATCCATTCTCAGTGGAGAGTTTCGTTCTATGGTTTCATTGGTATTTAATTTTATGACTTATAGAGAGTTGGTAATCATGTCAAGTGTGTTTTATCTAGATGAAACCTATTTCTGCTCTCTCTTTTTAAATACACTGTCATGTAATAAAAAAATACCTGTGTGACAACCTATTTAATACAAATAAAACTCATATGAAATTTCCACTAAGACTGATCTTATGCGCGTATGAGCGCGCTACAAAGACGAACTTGCAGTCTTGGACACATAGGGTTGATAGTATCTATATAAACTACTGGTGTTCTCTTTGCCGTGTTTCTTTCTTTCTTGGCAAGTACTGAATCTGACTGGGGCATTCTTGTCTCCCATGTCGTGAAGCTGTTACAAATTGCAGACCGGAGATGCTTTGTATTGCACCACACCAGGTGAATGACGCACACAAGTAGCATGCCATCAAAATGTAATTAAGAGCAATGGCACGAGAATGATCTGTGCTCTGAGCCTCTGACTCTTGTATTATTTTTTGTCTGTGTGTTCTGAGTGCGTAGATGCAACGATGGATATGATGATGAGTACATATACACGGGCCGGCCTGACCTCTGGTTTTTCTTTCTAACCGCAGTTTCTGCGTTGCGTGACTCACTACCACAGTACCACTAGCCAGTATCGCCCGTTTTTTAAAAAAAAAAACAATCCAGAAGTTGGCGCTTCTTGAAAATTTCAGGGAACAGTTTCTGCTTAAGCATGGCCTATATTGAGCCTGTTCGCTGATTGATTTCTGAACTAATAAGTCCAGCTGGATGCTAGTTTATTGTGAGAGAAAAATATTATATAACTGATAAGCTCTAACTGAAATCAACGAACGAACGAACAGACTGATTATTCGTTTGCCGTTGAAGCTAGCAGCTGTTGCGGCAGCTCGCAGCTTTATTAGCTGCATGCCTGTACGACCATGACCGTGTTGAGCGACCGTATATGCTTGACTTGCGTTCCTGAAAGCCAAGATTCTGCGACTAGACAGCCGTCCCTTGATTATTTATTGTACTACTCCTACGAGCAGCGCAACCAAACAGATACAACGCATTGGCCTGCCAATTTGCCACGCCTGTGTGTCAGCTCATGCATCCATGGACGATGGTCGACGGGGCAGCGCAGCCAGCGACGCAGAAATGGAAATGCAGCAGCTGCTGCTGATGCAGTGGCGCACTGGCACTGCAGCGCACGGGAGCTCGATCGACGAACAGGGTTGTTGTTAATGCAGCGGCAGCCACAGCCAGGCAGGGTTGGTGGCAGTTGGCCATCGAGTCGTTAGCGAGATGGGGATTAATTGCACAACATGCATGGCGGGCACCGGCTGGCACTGGCAGGCTTCAAAGAAGGAAAGGGAAATGAGGTGCCAAATCGGTTGACCAATGGACTACACTGGTGTACTGTGCTGATCGAACTGAAACTATGGTGGGAACTGGGAACTAGTATGGTCCCGGGTCCTCGAGCTTTGGCCAGGGGCGAAGCCAGCTCAAAACCAACCTGGTGTATCAACTGAATGTGTACGATTTCTAAGAAAATACACGAAAAATTTAAGGTAGGTATTAGCAAACTTTTATTTTACCATGGTGCATGTGCACCAAGGAAAGCTAACGTGGCTTCGCCCCTGGCTTTGGCTCCAGTCAAAACATAGAGCTTATCTAACAAAGTTTTTTTTTTCTTTTTACAAAGAACCTCTCTAACGAATTACTCTTTATTTCAAATTATGAGATGTTTTGACTTTCCTAGATACATTGCTTTTAGTCAAAATATCTTATAATTTGAAATGGAGGAAGTATCTTTTTATCACTCTGAATTCTCTTATTAGAAAAATAACTCATAAAACAGTTTGTAATGGTTGTTGAAGAGAGGAAAATGCTCATAAAACTCTCTTCTTTTTTTTCCCCTTTTCTTCTTTTCTTCTTTTATTTTTTCTCGCTTGTTTCTTTTTTCCTTCTTCTCTCTCCACGATGTCATGTCCCTCCGCGCCTCTACTACACGCAGGAGCGTTGCCACCCTTTCGGTGCCTTCCACACCCCTCCCCCTCCCCAGCCCAATTCCGATGATGGATGCCCTTTAGCGAGCTCGATGTCATTGAGGGTGGCATCGACTGCATCCTCTACCTCCTCTGAGGACATCCTTGCCCTCATCTCCTCGCACCTCTACCCCTACAACATCCTCGCGCTCTCTGCCGCCTCCGTTGTGTACTCTCTGCCGACAAGGCTTGGCTCGCACAGTGGCGCCCCCACGGGCTCCTCCCTCGCCGTCCGCCGCTCTTCCTCCACTCTACCACCTGGCCCTACGCAGACAGCAGCAGCACCGGCTCTACGAAGTCCGAATCGAATCTTTTGGTTGGCTTTCCCGTGAAAAAGAATAGTTGGGCGCGGCGAAGCGAGCGCTGCTGTTTCGCTTGCTTCTTTCTTATTGATAGGTGGCCTGGGATTCCTCTCTATCGTTGCCGCTCGCGCCATCCCGCAAGAGTTTGCCAGGAAGGAGCCAGCAGCGGAGCAGACCCCATTTGGTTGTGCAGACGCAGGAGCAGCTTCAAGAGCTGATGGAGAATCTCCATCAAAGGAACCCTATATATGTTACCTTCATCCTAAAAAAAATGTAATTTTGAGTTTAGATTTAGTCAAATTTCTTTAAGATTGACTAAGTTTATAGGAAAATATCATTAGCATTTATTACTCCAAATAGGTATACAGTATTTCATAATTAATCTAATAATGTTTATTCATTATCATAAATGCTAATAGTATTTTTTATATAGATGTAGTCAAACTTAAAAACAATTTGACTCCTCGAGTATATGCCGTAATTAAGCTATATCATATATATATATATATATATGGTCTATATTTTGAGGAGTACGTATATATGATCGGCACGCAGTCTCGTGTTAACCGAGGGAAGGAGTTGGCAAAAGGAGTTTGGGTGGTGAGGTGTGTGCATGGCTGCCACTACTGCTGCCACACGCGCAGCGCAGCCCTGCACCCAGAGAAGAGAGAGAGAGAGAGAGAGAGAGAGAGAGATCAAGACGCAGGCTCCTGACGATATATATACTCCTACATCGGAGCATCACCTCGCCCATCTGCAGAGGCAGTGCAGGCCATCCCCTCTTCCCCACCAGGTAGCGGAGCGCGCGAGAGCAAAGACGACCCGCGGCCGAGGATGGGTCATGGTCATGGGGGACTCCCGCCGACGCTGCTTCTCCTTCTATGTAAGGCAACACTACCTCCCGTCCCCAGCCTAGGCCTAGCTAGCTAAAACATCTCTACTGTCTCTCGCTGTACTTCCCATCTGATTCGATTATTGTACTTGCACATCCCAATCCTGTTCCTGTGAAGGTCTGCTCGTGCTTTCAGCGCAGGCGGCGGCGCGCAAGCACAGTCACAGGGCCGGCGATCATACTGACACTAGCGGCGGCGGCAGCAACGGGTCGTCTCCTTCGCCAACAACTATGACCCAGCAGCTGTGGGTGTTCGGTGACTCGTACGCGGACACGGGGAACCTTGGCGACCTCGGGCGGGAGCTGACGCACGCGTGGTACGACCCCTACGGCGCCACCTTCCCCGGACGCCCCACCGGCCGCTTCTCCGACGGCCGCGTCCTCACCGACTTCATAGGTACCTCCCAATTCATTCGTTCCCATCTGAACCTGATCGAACTGCCTGCTGCTATTCAGTTCATTGCAGTTGGTAATAACCGATCGAATTATATATGCACATGGGATGGGATGGGACGGCCGGCCGGGGGTGCCTAATTAACAGATGTTGGCTGGCCCGCGCCCAATGCGGATGAGTAGCCTACCCTCGGATTCATGGGCGTGCTTAGCTTCCCTCTGGCTGCCGCCGCTTGGCGATGGCCTCACATGATCACATCACATACTGATGGTGAGTGATGACGATACAGCGGGGAAGCCGACGGTGCAGTTGGTTCTGGTTGCAGAGAATTTGGCACGTACGTCTCCAGGATCTAGTGCCTGCAAACTTCCAAAGTTGCAGATAGCCTCACAAATTTGAAGTCTGCCGTAGGACATCCACCGTCTGTCCGCCATCCTGCGGCTGCACACATACCTGCCATACGTGCCAATGCTAAGCAGCAGCCACACACACAAGCGCTACCACCAGAACGCATGTACTGACGTACGTGTCTGTGTCATGACGATTCATTTTGACAAAACTCTTGGCTGCGTGAGATACATACAGCATCATCCATCTGGATCGGTCTCTTTTGGTTTTCGTGCGTGCTGCTGATGCGTGCCTTAACCGATGCATGGGTCGTGGTGGAGACGTGGGGTTGCACATGATCGATCAGCTATTTCAATTTAATTACTAGTTAAGCTGGCAGATGACATATTTACGGTACTAACTCAATTGTAGATATCAGAGTGGTAACAGCACCATATTTCTGCATTATTGCAGCCGTATAATAATATGTATGTGGTCTAGAGGACCGTTATATATGTCTTGCACTCTTGCGTTGCGTTGGGACGAAAATTCGAGTCAAGATGCGTCCAAAACGTCTTTCTCGACCCAACAGGCATCTGCTCAGCGTAAAGTGACCATCGATCAAATATTTTGCATATCTAACTTGCTAGCTAGGCGGTGGTGCGTCACGATCGAGCAATATACTCCTACTGTCCTAGTCCTAAACAAAAAGGAGAAACAGATAAAAATGCAGTGGCAGCATGGCATTCCTTCCTACAAGATCAAACTGCACGCATTGGTGTTTATTTGCCGCCTATATACATATGCTTGTTATTATCGCACGGTGCCAAATTAAAGTAAAGCTGCTAGTGAATTCTTCTTGCACGGTCCCCTGCTGATGATCACACTGCTATAATAGTATATACCGGAATGCCCAGCTTTGCCGTGGAGTCCACGGCACACGGCACAGCCCAAAAAATACTCGGCAAAGCCTTTGTCGAACACTCGACGTACATAGTGCCGACAAATGTTTCTTTGCCTAGTGTTTTCTATCGTGCACTCGGCAAAAACTTTGCCGAGTGCCCAAAAAACACTCGGCAAATATTTTTCCAAAAAAAAATAAAAAAAAACAGCACCACCACGCCAGCCCCTCCACCAACAGTGCCGCCGCCATCGCCGGCGAGCTCATCACCTCCTCGCGCTCGACTGGCTTGTGTAGCTCCTGCGCTTGCCACCACGCCCGCCGCAGCCATGCCCGCCGCCAACACGCCACCACCACCACCACGCCTCCCGCCAACACCACGCCACCACCACCACCACCCACCACCACCAGAGGGGCGCGGCCGGATCGAGGAGGAGGAGGAGGGAGGGCGGTGCCAGGGCGGGCCTTGCCCGAGAGGAGGGGGAGGAGGTGCGGAGGAGGGGAGGGAGGAGGAGGAGGGGCGGTGCGGATCGGGAGGGAGGCGGGGAGCCGAGGGCGGCCGGATCTAGTGAGGCCTTGCCGGAGAGGGAGGGGAGGCGCCCGGAGGGATGAGGGGAGGGAGGGGAGGAGGCGGGGGGAAGGAGGGAGGGGCGTCGGCGGGAGGCACTCTAGGGAAACCGGCACTTTGCCGAGTGCCGGAATCTTTGCGAGTGTATTTTATCGGGCACTTTCGCAAAGACGGCTTTGCCGAGGGGGGCAGGCAAAGATGGCTTTGCCGAGTGTTTTTTCGACACTTTCGGCAAAATGAGTCTTTGCCGAGTGGCACTTTCGGCAAAATGCCTTTGCCGAAGTGCCTTTTTCCGGCACTTTCGGCAAAGATGTATTTTGCCGAGTGCCATTTTTTTTCGGCAAAATCGTCTTTGCCGAGTGCTTTTTTTTGCACTTTCGGCAAAGAGGCATTTTGCCGTGTGCATTTTTGTCCTCGGCAAATCATTTTTCAAAGCAATTTTGAGGCCCTAAATGAATTCAAATGAAAAACTTTTCAACTAAAAGTTAGATAACTTCTCAAGATCTACAAAGTTTATTTTGATCATTTCTTCATTTGACAAAGCGACAATAACGTTGTTCATAAAATCTACATCTGTCTCATATCTCTCATATTAGTTTCATGAAAGTCGAAGAGAGATATATAAGATTTATGAATAATGTTACTACCACTATGTCGGATGACCAAATGACCAAAATAAACTTTGTAGATCTTGAGATGTTATGAAATTTTGTAGTTTGCAACATTTTGATTTGAAATCATCTTGTCATGCAAAAATGACGTTTGTATTTGAAAATTTTAAAATTTGAATTTTTCAAAAGACCTCGGATGGAAAAACTTACTAAATGAAAATTGTAGATCCCCAAAAGTTATGAAACTATGTAGTTGACAGCTTTTTGATTTGAAATCATCTTATCATGCAAAACTACGTTTGAATCTCTCAAATTTAAAATTCGATTTTTTCAAACGACCTCGGATGGAAAAACTTCCTAAATGAAAATTGTAGATCTCCAAAAGCTATGAAACTATGTAGTTGAGAACTTTTTTATTTGAAATCATCTTATCATGCAAAACTACGTTTGAATCTCTCAAATTTGAAATTCGAATTTTTCAAATGACCTCGGACGGAAAAACTTCCTAAATAAAAATTGTAGATCTCGAAAAGTTATGAAACTTTGTATTTGACCACTTTTTAATTTGAATTCGTTTAGGGCCTCAAACAAGCAATTTACTCTTGATTTAGTATAATATATGAGGATAGATAACGGAATCTAGACATTTCATAGTGCGAGTGGTAGAGCAATGAACACACGAGGAGAGGTCGTGAGTTCGAATCCTGCCGGCCGCATTAGTCGCGAAATTTGCTCAAAAATTACAGCGACTTGATGGTTGTGGCTGAGACGGACGAGGCCGCCGATGATGCCGCCCCTTCCCGAAAATAAATTTTTGCTATTATTTTTGGGTTTTTTCGCATTTTCATTTTGTTAGGTGTAAATCTTTGCCGAGTGCTTTTCGGCACTTCGGCAAGGTTTTCACGAGTGCTCGACAAAAGCACTTTTCAAAAGGCTTCTTTGCCGATTAATTCTTTGTCGAGTGCCCTTTGCGAGGCGCGCACTTTCGGCAAAGCATTTGCCGAGTGTATTTTTCGTGCACTCGGCAAAGTACCGATTTCGAGTAGTGAGGAGGGAGGACGGCGGAGGCAGGCTGGGAGAGAGGGCGAGCAGGGAGAGGGGCGGGGCGGGGAAGGAGGGGCGTGCATGCGTGTTAAGTGTGCGAGTGCCACTAGATCGATCGGCACTTTCGGCAAGCAGATGTTTTCCGAGTGTCCTAAATCGACACACTCGCAAAGGATTTATTTTTTATTTTTTATTTATTTTTCTCATTTCATGGAGGGACACATGGTGCGATGTTTGTCGAGTGCCGGATCCCATATTTGCCAAGTGCCGGAGTTTGCCGAATGTTTTTTAGTAGAATTGCTGAGTGTCAGAATGTTTGCCGAGTGTTTTCTAGTAAGGCACTCGGCAAACAGATAGTTTGCCGAGTGTCAGAATATTTGCCGAGTGTTTTTAGTTTGACACTCGGCAAAGAGATGGTTTGCCGAGTGTCCGATAAAACACACTTGGCAAAGAATATGACACTCGGCGAAGCCTTCGATTCCGGTAGTATAATATGTAGTATAAATGGCCAATCTGAATCTGCATCTGCTAATGGCATGCTACACGGTGTCATTACTCACTAGTTAAACACCAAGCACATGCGCGCGTGCATCTGAAATCCTCAAGTCCCAGTACAACTATACAAGTTCTACTACTATAATACTAGTGTGGTAAAGCTTTTTTTTCCCCTGCTAATCAACTGCGGTGCTACTACTAACTCAGTGTCCGTTTGCTGCTTGGAAATTGGAATTGGAACCATGTGGCATGATGCAGCTTCGGCCATGGGAATGCCAACGCCGGTGGCGTACAAGCTGCGCCGGGGCGCCGCTCGCGGGCTGTTGGCGCGCGGCATGAACTTCGCCGTCGGCGGCGCGGGCGTGCTGGACACCGGCAACTTCCAGCGCAATATCAGCGCGCAGATCGACCTGTTCCAGGCGCAGCAGCAGCACCCTGCGGCGGCGGCGGCAGCAGCCCACGGCGGTGGGGTCGCGCTCGTCGTCGTCTCCGGCAACGACTACTCCTACGCCGCCGACAAGGACAACAGCACAAGCGTACGTGAGCTACTACTACATACATCTGAAGCTGATGCGTACGTGATGCCCCCCTGACACTTGCAATGGCACGCACGCAGGCCGCGATCGCGTACATCCCGACGGTGGTGCGTGAGCTCGGGGAGCAGCTCCGGCGGCTGCGCGACGACGTCGGGATGCGCAGGGTGGTGGTCACCAACCTGCACCCGCTGGGGTGCACGCCGCTCTTCACCCGCGCGCTCAACTACAGCGGCTGCGACCCGCTGGCCAACGCGGGCGCGGCGCAGCACAACGCGGCGCTCCAGTCCGTGCTCGCCGCGCTCGACCCGGCCAACCGCACCTTCTTCCTCCTCGACCTCAACGCGCCCTTCGCGGCTTTTGCCGACGCGCCACCGTCGGCGGCGGCGGCAAGCAGGTTCGATGAGCCGAGGCGCCCGTGCTGCGAGACCTTCTTGAGCACCGCCGGCGGCGGCTACTGCGGCCAGCAGGACGACGACGGGAGGAGGCAGTACGCGCTGTGCGACGACCCCAGCAAACACTTCTACTGGGACAACGTCCACCCCACGCAGGCCGCCTGGGCCACGGTCGCCGAGACTTTCAGGCCCAAGATCCGCGAGTTCCTTTCCAACTGATCACTTGATCGATTAATTCCAACATTTTTCAGTTTCTGTTCACACATATAAAAGCTGCTCTATATCTAAGCTAACCATATGTTTATGATCTGCCCGCCCGATCATGATTACTGAAATGCTCATGTTGCAATTCCTCTAAAAAATGTCAGTGTCAGTTTTTCTTGGAACAATGTAAAGCTGATACGAGTTATGACGACGCAAGTTTTCACAAAAATACACACTGCCAGTGGGCCAGCACTGCATACTGAACCATCAAAGACCAATATTGCTTTGGAAACAAAAAGGGCATAAGTTTATCCGGCCTTCTACATTTTTTTACTGTTACACAATAATCACCAGGTGGAGAGCTTCCTTTTTCTACTGTTACACAGCGTTACAGCTAACGGGTTCAAAATCAGTGTTTGCCTGAGGTCGCCTACCTCGCTAAACAATCTACCAGTTACAAGCACAACTAATTGATTGATTGGTCCATACAAGAACTTATCAAGATTGCTATCCTATCATACTTACCGAGAGGTCAGTAAGTCGCCAGCAACCAGACTGGGGCCGCTACAAGGTGACCATGTCGTCATTGACTTCTGGCGCTGGTTGCGGTGCTGGTGTGACATCTACTGGGTCAACTTTGCTCTTAGCAGCTTCATACTCTGATAGGAGGTCCATAAACTCATTGAGCAGCCGCTGGACTTTCCAGTTCGATGCCATCGATGGAAGTATGTCTTCCCTGAGGAGTTTGTGCTTCTTCATCCCCTGTGCAATTGCCATCAGTTACTTTTACAAACTGGAGATCATGTACGCTAAGAACATGAGAACTGGAGTGTCATCTATTTACAGTTCATGAACCCTCATGGTTATCTAGAAAGTGGATGAGTCTAGTATGCACGGTGAGGGAAAGAGAGACTTACGAGAACATCAGGATCCCACGATGGATTTTTGGGTTCCGTAGATGATGCAGATCCAAGCATGCCCATTGGAGGACCTAGGAAGTTCTCACAAACCTCACGTAAACGAGATTCGTCTGCTTCTCTGCATATAAACAAGAAAAATAAAATAAAATAAATGTGCCAGTAAATCATCACCAAGTAATTTCCATCGGACAAAGATATTGACATATTTTGTCGGTCAGTTCAACAGACACAGCTGATCCCCCACATAACTAACCTTGCCAGAAACCGTATGTAGGATAGAAGGCATTGGCGATACTCCTGTGGTGACTTCAAAGCCAAAGAAGCTGCCAACTGGGTCTCTAAATGGGCACGTGTCTGCAAACCATCATCTGTAACCCTGAAACAGAAACTCCCACGTCAGTATGTTTAGAGCAAACTCTGATATGTAGTACATCAGCATGCCATAGACATAATTTCAAGTGTTCATAAATACTAAAGCAATCAAAGCGGTATGCAAACCTGCTCCATATAGGCTTTCTAGCCATGAACTTGCCTAGATCAATCTGCAACTTGCCTAGCTCTCCACCTTGGGGGGAACTAAATGAGCTAGCAAAATTTGATGCTGGAAAACAATCATCGGCAATCCTTAACCAGCACTTCATGCTCATGTCAAAAAGAAAAGCATGGCGACTGGCAAGGACAACTAGGGGAAAACCACATCTTGAGAATTTAGCAGATATAACCTTTACTGCACCTGTCAACAAGGCAAAGATAACTAGTAAGCACCAACCATTTCAGCAAACACTTAGATGCAGCAAAGTTAAGAATAGCCATCTCAGGCTGTATGTGGAACTGAAGACTATATGTACAAATAGTTACCAGCATGATTTGCTGACGACTCATCTGGAGATGTAACCAAAGAAGCCAATGAGTCCTGCAAAATGCAGGTCCTGTTATAGAGGTCCCATATGTACATTAGACCTCTTCTTGTGACAAGAAGCAATTTCCAACAGTCGTCACAGTCTATAAAAACGGCTGCGGATCCCATCATCATTGCCGGCATTGCTCGTCTTCCACATTTTGTGTAAACCTAGTTAATTAAGAGCAGTCGATTGTGAGAACACAAAAGCCTATTCCAATAATAATTGACTGGGGTTACATAGTACTCCCTCATTTTCAAAAAATAAAGGAGCAGTTTGACCCGGTGTGGAGTCCACTGCCACACTTTGACCGTCAATATCTCATATATATTATAATATATTATAATGTTTACGACCATGAAATTTGAAATCATGCTTAATTTGCATGGTATAATCTACAAGTTCTTGGAGTAATTGTTACTCAACACTTAAAAGTTCAAATCTTCAGTTGTGTGCGCGCCTAAAAAAAAGGAGGGGCGGTAGCATCCATTTAAAAAAAAAATCAATCTATAAGAAATTCAGATAACAAAATATTACTCACCTGCAGGTAACCATCTTCACAGCCAACAGCCCAGAAATTTGCATTGCCTGCCAAGACAGTAACCTTTGCAGATATACGATCCAACCAAAGAGTTTCTGTTCCTCTTGTACACCTTATCTCAGTTTCTTTTGTTGAAAAGGCACCACTGACACCAATCATATCACCTGCAGCGCGTTCTACAGGCTTTGCTTCAAGGCAGACTGGCAAGGAATCCTCATTGTCTTTCTTATCTAACACATGTATTGAAAGTGCGGAGCAGGTCAAAGAGCCTGGAACTACAGATCCAGTGCGTACTACACTCAACATTCCATCACTGCCAGCACTGGTTGAAGCTTTTTGAATAACAAGACTCTCTGTAATGTTCGCCCTTGCTGTGACACCAGAGCGATCCTTAACTCCAGAGTTGTTACAGTTACTGTTACCACCATAAGATGGTCTTATCCCATTCATTCGCTGATCTAGGGATGAAAAATCCATAGCCTGGTTCTGAGAACGGCTGGGTATGTTATCCTGGTTGGAAGGAAATCCAACAGCCTCTGGGATTATTCTTTTCCGGCCATCAGGACGCCGGTATTCCCTCTGCTTCAATGGACTAGATAACAGAGTAACTTTATTCATATCATCAGCAGCAGGATCTGATGTTTTCTTCTCAGCTTCAGGTAAAGTTTCAGGAGCTTTCTGACTTTGCACAACAGGAGCTGGGTTAGGCACATCTGCAGAAACTTTTGTCGGTGCTTGAAATTGCTGAACAATGGAAGTCCCCTTTTTGCTAGACGATTGCTTTGCTGATGCTTCTTCTAGCAGTAACTGTGCAGGGCTTTCAGCCAGATTTGATTGTCGTCCTCTGACATCACCATATCTACTCCTCTTCAATTCATCCAGTTCAGAATCACTTAACTTGTATCCAAGCTCCTTTGCTTCAAAGTGAAAGTTGGCGACAGATCCATCCAAGGAGCATGCAAAAAGTGAATAACCATCAGGGCTCCTGTCAAGTGAAAAGCACATTATCACTGTGAGCTTGGGTATATGGGTAATATTAACTATATTGAGGAACAAACGAGATGCCTTACCAAGATAAATCAACCACACTTTGAGAGAAAAAATGCTTAGCAACAAACAATGGTCGCGCACTCGCTGTCGTCCAAACAGTAATTGTTCTGTCCTGACTTCCAATAGCAATAACATTATATGGTTGCTGTTCTTTTGATGATGTCTTTGATGTTCCATTGGCCCAACCAGCTGGTGCAGCTTTAGTGTCTTGCCCATTTGAGAAATTCTTGCGGAACATTGAGTTATTAAACTTAACCGCCACGATAGGCGCGTTATGCCCTAGAAAGTCAAATGTAGCAGACCACTCGCCTCTTTCAAGCACGGGGGCTGAATGCCTAGGTTTCTGGAAGCCGTGAGTCGTAGTAATGAAGTGGCCACAAGGTGACCATGCAAGTCGTCTAAAAAATGTTGAACCAAGCTGCAGGAAGAAGGAAAGTAAGAAAGGATTGCATTGAGGGCATGTTGATCATAGTAAATTATAAAAAAAAAAGGAAACATAACATACAGATTTTTCCCAATGGCCTTCTGTCTTGTGAGCAAGACTCCAGTCGCTTGTACGCCATATTATAACAGTCTTATCATCTGACTGGCTTGCAATGAAAGAGCCAATTGGATCCCAAGTAACACCTTTGACCAAGCTGGAATGCCCTCTCAAGACGGCAGTGCACATACCATTGGTCATGTTCCATATGTGAACAGTATTATCCAAGCTGCCACTAGCCAATGTTGAATCATCAGGGGACCAATTAAGATCTACCTACTTTAGGCATAGCAAAAGAAAAGGGTGTTCAATAGTTAGACAGTAACAATAACAAAAGGTACTAATAAGAGCTAAAGAAAGAGTAACAGCACAAATTCTACAAATGCTTAACTAGGGAAGATATACAGCATGGGTGCAATTATGGAAGATAATTACCACATCTGCAGTATGCCCTCTTAAGGTCATAACAACCTTCCAATTCTCTATATCGGGAGGTTCCCCGCTACCAAACTCAGATGTTCCAGAACCAGCTTTTCGCTCATGAATTAGGATAACCTGATCATCTGATCCAGAAGCCAGATAGCGGCCATGCCTTGCCCATCTCACACAGTTTACTGATCCAAAATGGTCACGCATTGTAGCTAGCAACCCTTGGCTGGAATCATTGTTGGCATTATTCTTATCCACAGATTTCATGCTCCATATTCGAACCTATTGCAACACCACAGCAAATAAAAGGAACTTGGTAAGGAGATCACTTATGAATGATAAAAGGAAAATATGAAACAGTGGTTACACCTCAGTATCACATAACAGGTTACAAACGAATATGTGTTAATAACATGACAAGAAATCACAACCAACTAAATCTTAAAATTTTCAATTATCACTCAACAATGAAGTTACCAATAGAATCACATCAATGCAAAACCTTCAGTTTGACGAACACTCAGTAAGCTATATAAATATATAATGCAACATGCTAGCTAATATGGACTAAAAACAACATCGTGAACCCTATGAGATTAAAATTTGGGACTATGAATAGTGACTTCACAATAAGTCCCAGTTGAAAACCCAGCACTAAATCAGTAATTCTAAAATTACATCAGATATACTGCTAA